CTTGCGAAGGTCGGAGTACATCGCTGTGGGAAACTTGCGTTCACGCCGATCTCATTCCTCGCATCGAAACCCTGTGGCCATTCAAGCCTTCATGTCCGGAGTCATCGCGGACAGCCAAGTTAGGCGATCAACTCCGATCCGGCATCTCCCATTATCGCCAAAAGAATCGTGCAGGGTGCCATGAATCCTCACAGATGCAGGGTTCTCAAGCTGGCACAGAGGGTCTACTCCAGCGTGAGCCCCATGCACATGACAGGTTTTACGTCAGGTGCTCAACATTGATTAAGCTGGACTTTCCACAGCCATCGTACTCAGCTCCAGCGCCAGTCATCATTTCAGCCATTACATATGGACGCCGTGCCCAAACGCTTCAAAGTAATTCTTGGATGAGCCACTACATGCTACCTGGCGCTCACACACTGGCACCTCGTCCTGGTCAGAAACGAATGCTTTTTCAGAAGATTGTGGCTTTGGCAGAGTGGAGCCATGCAGGCAGAGCGGGTCATTGGTCATTGGTCATTGGCGAAATAGACTTGAATATATGCGCGCACGGCCTGGCATCAAGATCTGGTTTGTGCTCCCTCTATGATTCTTGGTCCCTATGAACGCGTCAACGTTGCCAGGGATTTGAGGCATCAAGTGACAAAAGGGCAATCCGGTGATGCTTCGCCGTTTTGGTTCTTTTTGCCTGACGACATGCGATTTCTATACACAGTTTAAGTTGGATGAAGCACATGACCTGGGAATGTGAATTCCTATACGCATGGCCCGTAAATATCAAAACCCCATGTCATCCAAGGAAAATCATCGACGTCAGAACATGCTATCACTATCCAGGCCACCCCCGCCCGAGATCATGTCTAGATGCACGCTTCCTCTTCAGATCGCGCATCATCGTGTAGGGCGGGACACCGGCTTGCCTTGCACAGCTATTGAACCTGGATGTACTTTACACCATCTCCAAGTCGTTCTTTGTAGAACTCCTGCCCGGGTGTTGGGGAATGGTTCCCGGTTGAAAGTGGAATCGAAAAAATCCAGAGAGGCCCTGTGAACCAAAGTACTCGTTGAACTTGTTGGTTTTCAACTAAAGATCGTATCAATGTTCAGGTCCCTGACCCCAAAAGCCCAAATGGCACAAGTAGCATACTGAAATCCAGAACCCAGCCTTCAGAACATCCACCCACACTGTCGCGGGGCTTTGAGTCGGGCATGGCGTCAAGTCGATGGGTGAGAGACAAAGTTGGCTTCGCAGGTCATCTGTGCAGGCTTCAGTGCCGGCATCGGCACGGTCATTGGTCTTCGAAACTTTTGAGCCTAGCTTGGTGGGTCTTGACTTGTCACGACTTGACCCATAGTAAAGCAGGGCTGCCATGACATGATCATGATCATGATGCCTAACCCGCCCTGAACCTGAAGCCCAGAGCCACGATCCGGGATGGAGGTCACAAGGCCAAGCTGCACTCCCAGAAGGCACCAGCATCCTCATCATCCAAGGCCACACGTCCCGTAGGCTCCCCTCATCACCAAAAGGTCTCCAAAGCCAACAAAAGTATACTAGCACGCATAGCCGAGAGTCGTTTTCGAGCCGCACACTTCATCTCCCATCGCTCGGGCGGGCACGGACGACGACCCACCAAGACCGTGAAGAAAAGAAAAGGGGATCAAACAATGGTCGATGAGTCGGCCCTGGGATTCACAGGTGTGACTCCTTCCAGCTGTTGGAATCAAGTGGCCACATTGTTGGCAAACATTGGAGGAACAGTCCTGTTCCCATACTTACCTAGCAGAAAGTCTGATATGTATTTCCTGCATGTTCTTTGCACTGACCAGGCAAACACCAACAGCATGCAAGAGGAGATCATGTCCATTTCAGGGTGACGGAACGTGGGGATGGGCGGAGTGGAGCGGATTCGACGGGCCTAGTTGTTGCTAGGATTTGAAGGTCCAGTTGCAGGTCTTATTAAAGGTGCTTATAGACGTATAGACAAGACAAACTTTTAAAGTAAAGTATGCTCATATGAATGAATGGCAAACGAACAACAAGTTTAACGAGTGCTTTGGTTTGTTACAATACAGTGTGTATATATAAATACATTGAATGTAATATATGTCATATATATATATACAGTATGTGTGTGTGCCTGTGTGTCTTTCAAAGTCTTTCAAAATTAAACCTTTAATTGCCAATATTCCCAAAAATATCTATCCGAAACAACCCTAAATAACTTGAGAGAGGAGCGGATGAACGAAAGGTAGCAGGCAATCACAAGTAACCCTGGTAGAAGTCCATGACGGCGTGAACTGGCGCAGGGGGGATTTGATCCAGGGAGGGGGGGACCCCCCCCCCGACGAACAGAATCAACTCTTACAGGACCAAATTCAATGCACAATCCCAACTCCTGATTGTAATACATTTTTGCTAAAGCAAGGAGAACTCAGGTAGCTCAAGCTACCTGTCGTGATTAACAAGTTTTACATATATATGTTGAATTATCCAGTAAAAGTAAAAATGTACTTATATGAAAATATCAATATACTATAGTATATAAATAGAAGTTTTTTGTTGAACTTCTGGGTTGAATTATGTTTATTTAGAGTAACGTACCGCTTGAAGCTTCTCTGCCCTTTGTGCAGCACTGCCAGCCCGGCGCTCGCACCCGAGCGTGTCCACCTTTCCACCAAGTGGCTTTGCCGTGAAGCCCTCACCTGAAGAGAGGATCATGCAGGTTTCGTTGAAGCCTATATAGCTTGGACATCTAACTGTAGATGAGGAATGGTCGGATGTGGACATCTAACTGTAGATAAGATATATATACATATATGTGTGTTAAAATAGGGAGGCCTCCCAGTTTGACCCTCTGGAAGAAGGAAAATAGACCAGTCTACCCATTGGGCCTTCAACTACATTTCTGATAGTTTGGACATGCTTGGACATCGTCACCCTAACGTTTGGACAATGTGGGTCGCTTCGATTGAGCTTCGATCGAGTGTTAACTCCATCTGTCTCGGCCGTGAATCTGCTATCTCCCTATGCTTGGTCAAAGCCTCGGCGGTTCAAAATCACCATCTGATACCATCTGCATCTATCTGACATTATCTGCACATCCTGCGCATGACTTGAAACTCGAGCAGAATACTGGTTGGTCATTGAGTCATGGGTGTCCACGGACTGCCTTCTCTTGTCCCAATTTCTCTGGCACGTCCAGGGGATCCAGCTGATGTCCAGTCTGGCGACTGGACAGTCGATGGCGGACCAGGGAACCATGCCATTTGCCACAAAAAGAGAGACTGCAAGCAGTCGCCTGAGAATCCGGATCAACATGGCCGGTGCCTGATTCTCCGGGCGATTCTCCCGGGGCCTGATGGCGTTCCATGTCTTGTCTCTGGAGAATCCCAGCCGATGCCAAACCGACTCCCGACCAAGAGTCCACTGCCATAGGGCGGCTTCTTCGCCCAGTCGTCCGACATCGCCGGCGTCAGAGGCGTTTGGGCGGACCCGCCGGTGTTTTTGTGACTTTGGGCTACGGAGTGACTTTGGGATGGGATATGATGGGATGATGGGAGAAGTCTGGTTGTTTTTCGGTATGGATGGTGTGGATGGTATGGATGGTAGAACTTCTTTGGGATGTTGTGGAGCCCCTTCTTTTGGGGGGATGGCATGGTCTGATGGTCCTTGACAAAGTGTCTTTTTCAGTCTTCCAGGGACTCCATTCCACCTCGCCACAGATTCAGCATCTGCAGCACTTCCCCTCATATGCTTGATCAATCTTTGACTGGTGAAGTTCGCTGTCTAGCAAAGTGTTCTCGAGGCTTCAACGAACTTTGGGCAAAAAAGAAAAACAAACCACCCACTGCCAGACTATGCCATCCACATGACAAACCAAATTCAGCAACAGAACATCCAGAACCATCTTTCGCTGGCAGGATGTCCATTCACCGAACACCCACGAGTTCTCAACGAAATCCCTCGAAGAACTCCATCGGTGCGTTGCTCGGTCAATCGGTCGATCGATGTCCGGAGCCGCGTTGGATGTCGACCTCTTCACGAACGAAGAACGCTGGAGGTCCATTGGCTCCGCGATCGAACTGCTCAATCGAGAACTGCTCGGAGTCTCAAAAAGGCATACAGTTTTCCGTAACATGTACGATATAGTCTGGGTTCGGGTGTCTATATATATATATATGCATATATCTTCATCATATCTATCGTTCCAGCGAAAGCGTTGCGACTCGGGCCGCGGCGTTCTCGATGCCGTGCCCGCTTCCTCAGAGAAACAACCGGAGCGAAGAGAAAAAGGCACGTTAAGCCGGCTGGAATCTCAGCCGTTGAGATGGGTTGAGAGTATGAGAGTAAGGTTGACGGTTGATGTAGTAAACGCACCGACCAGAATGGTCACTATATAATATATATATATATATATATCCAGATACATTATCAACAGTCAACATGACTTGAGTGATGAGGATTTGTGGAGTGGAATCTCTCCGTCTAGGGGGCGTGTAAATGTAGCTTGTCAGTTCAACCGACGCACCTACAAGATCCTACAAGCCTATAGAATGAGATCACATTCAAGAATCCCAAAGAAAAGGAATCCGAATTGGCGGATCTCCGCCTGGATCTCCGCCGCCGATCTCGGCCGACGTCTCGAGCCCCACCCCGTCCCCGCCGTTCCGCGGCCGGTCGCGGTCGCGGTCGCGCCGCCCGACCGGTCCTGGAAGACTGAGCCGGCGCCTCAAACCGTGCGACAAGGCGGGTGACCAGGCGGCTGAAGAAGGAGGTGTTGGGGGTTCTTAGGGTTGAGATGGGTGGAGGAATTCAGACCCTTAGACCTTTCAAGCCCATCCATCGCGTAAGACCTACATGTCCATCGCAAGACCGACCTACTCCAATACGCACGGCAGAAATCCTTATATACATGGGTGAGTCCGAAAACCAACAATACCCGGACACACTCAACAGACAGGTGCAGTGTCATCTAGAACCCAACTAACTAGTGGTCGCTTCTCCCCCCCACCAGGCCCACAGGGCCCCCACTGCAGGCTGGAGAGGATGTCCAGGAAGACCTGCTCGCTGAAGGTTTTCTTTTTCTTCGGGCTTGGCTCTGTCAACTCAGCTTTGAGGAAACTCACGTGTTCTGCATCTTCAATATGATTTGGGATCTAATTTCAAAGGGAAACCACCGGGTCGTGAACTTACAGCAGAACAGCAGCAGAACAGCAGTCCAACGGTCTGACGTGTCCAACCTAGTCTTGGAGGACTACAGGACTTCAATGACTTTGATCGATTACACCCACCGCCAAACCAGAATGGACCACGGACCGAGAGGGACGTGATGCAGTTTTTTCCAAGAGGTTTGCCAAACTGGAGAGAAAAAAAAGACACAAAAGGATTCTGAGAGGAAGTCGTCGACAGATCAACTGTTTTGTCCATTGATATTCCCTCACCCATCTTTCAAACACCATGGAGAGCACTCGCCTGACTAGAAACGCAAACAAAAAAGGAAAGATCCGACACGAAAAGCTTGGCAGTGCGTTGCTCCAAATTGATCAGACTGCAAAAAACGTTCGCCGCAAAACCCGCAGTGTTGCCTGGCGGGTACTGTGGCGGAGGCCCAGCCCTCGGCCTGGGCACGCAACAGGGTCTAAAGATTTCATGGAAAGGCAGCAGGGATTCTTTGGATGTGGTTTGTTTTGTGTCTCCGCAAGCTGCAGTTCCAAGTGGGACCTTTGATTGAACCTTGCAAACGATGTGTCAGGTCAACACATGAATTAACATGCAACCACCGAGCACCAGGGTGTCCTTCTTGCTCAAGAGTTCATTCCTCGCAATCAGTTTGTCTTTCACCGTTTCAACCAATGTTCAGCTTTCATGCGGTCGCACAGGGTGATCCCAAAATGAACCATCAAGGAATCAAGGGCCCCACTGCGCGGGCACGGGCGCCGGCCTGAAGGCAACGTGCGCAACGTGCATTACAACTCAAATGTCTTCCGTCACCACCAAAACACATCAAGCAGCGTCCAACTGGTTGAGTTTCCAGTAGACCATTCGAACAGAAAAACACCCAAAAAAACACGTACGGTAACACATGGCAAGAAACCAAGTTTGAGGCACAATATGTTTCTGCAGCGTCACATGCTGCAGAAATTTGCATCCATCACTCGGCCCAGTGCCCAGATCAAACTCGCCAGAGGTACGCTGCAGGAGGGTAGCTGGGCCTCAGTATCTGAGGCAGCAGAGCGAGCCCACAAGCCATCAGTTGGTGAGCCCGCAAGTCTATAGCCCCGCTCGAAGAGAACATCGAACTGAACACAGCTCAGATGCTTTCTGCTCATGCTGAACATGAGAACACGCATCAACAAGTGAGCAGGCTCACACTGGTACACAGCTTAAGTGCTTTGCGCTTGGGAGACAAGCACCGTGCAATGCTCAGCGCCATCACGGGGCAAGGACAAACCGCTGGTCAGCCGGGCGATTCCATTTTCGGGCTGGTCTTCCTTCTGAAACGGCAACCGTGCAGTTGCGAGGGAGCCGTTGGACACAAGTACAAAATTGTCTCAACAATTGCAAAAGGATCGTGCTCTGGGCGGCCTGCGCTGCTTTGCTCAAAAGATGTGACAGGAAAAGAATCCAACCTTCTTTTGGAAAGCAACTGACCGTGGAGATGAAATCACGCAGGGGCCCCCCTCTAGCGACTCTAGCGGTGTGTCCACCAGCTCCGGTCTAGGCGAGTAGGAAGCATCTGGTTCAGTGATCGATGGTTTGGACCGCGCTTCTCTGTTAAACATCCAGTGACACCAAAACTGAGATGGAAAGCGCTGCATTTTTGGCTACCCGTGAGACCGACACGGGCGACCGTCCCAACGGTCCAAACACCTGCACCTCGTCTCGGTCCAAGGCGATCCACCGGGGGGGGCGACGCACTCGTCACTGACGGTGTCCGAGGGTGTCCGAGCCACGTTGACCGCGAGGCCCGACTTGGCAGCGACGTGAAGGTGACTTGGCAATCACGGGTTTTTCAGGCACATCCCCCAACTGGGTTCCTGTCGATCGTCCACTAGCCACTCCAAAAAGGGGCGGGCGGCAGACCCCCATGAATTCTGTCGCCAAGTCATCCACTTGCCCTCTCGCATGAAAGCCCATCGGTCTTCTGATGTTTCACATTTCGGGACCGTTCACCGCTTTCTTCAATTCTTGCAGCTTCCGCAGCCAGACTTACATGGCAGACCCGTTGTTCGCACCCGTCTGGGCGACGTGTTGTGTTTGCGACGTGTTGTGTTGGTAAAATCGCATCCAATCAGCACTATTGCCACCTACTGGTACAACAGCGGTTCCAAACCTAAAGCCACCCTTTCCTGGTCGAGTGGGACTGGAGCCTGAAAACATGACCAACGACTGGCTCTTCATGCCACTTGAACTGAACTGGGTGTATGAAGAGCTAGGGAGACCCCTCAGTTCGACCTCTGGGACCATGAAAAAATTGCTAAATCTGGGCCAGGGAGGTCACACCCACATCGAATACAAACCCAACTGTGCTGTGGAGCATTTCGGCCTTTGAACTCTTGAGTTCCAAAATGCTCAACGCGTGTTTTGCAGCCAAAACCTCCCTTTCCAGTGAAAAAGAATACACGTGGCTTGGCTTGGCCAAGTTGGCCAATCCCCTTGCGGTGTCGCAGCCGAAGGGCGACCAGGTCGCCGAACGAGGGACGTCCTTCTTTCATAGTCGAAGGACGTCACGAGTCACGAGTTTCGCACCACTGGTTCGCGAACAAAACCCTTGATTCGGCACTAGGCAAAAACAAGATAACAAGCTCTCCCCGAAACCAGAAATCCAAAGACCATCGATGTTGCTCCTTGATTCAACAGAGTATCTCCTCTCTTGGAGCACACTGAGACCCTCAGCTAATTACCCTGGCTTGTCTGAAGGGAAACCATCTGCAAACATGTCCAATCAACGACTTGGAGCACCAACAAAATCCTCAGACTCCCCCCACGCGACGCAAAAAACCGCGCACCTCCACCGCGTGTTTTGCGGTCTCAGCGGCATCGCATAGGGCGGCGGCCGGAAGACCGGCGCGACCGGCGGCGCCACCGGCCGCAGGTACCTCCGGCGCAGCGGAGCGGCGGAATGCATCGGCAGAGTACCTCCTAAGAGTCCATATATAAGTTAAGGATTGTGGGATGAGTAAGAACTCCACTGGGCTCCAGTGACTTAGGAAATATGGGTCTAGTAAGAACTATCAGTCGAGTTTCTCTTGCAAATCCAGGACTTCCGGTGGAGAACCCAGCCAATCCAGCTGGACCATTCTGGGCGCACATGGGAGCTCGGTAAGGAGGATACCCCCTGACAGCGGTGAGTCACCATGCGATGATGCCCATGGTTCTAAAGCATCAAACCCCACATGTTTTTTGACGCTTTGACATCAAGTCCACCATGCAATCGAAATGGTTGAGCCCCCGCTTCTGCTCATGCTCCGGCTTTTGGTTCTTAAGCTCTTGACGGCCACGCGGGCATCAACGGAGGATAGGCCGGACCTGAGATATTATCGCGATGGATTTGGGCAAAGGATCTCACTGGGGTGGTCTCTGGAATGCACTAGACTTAAGTAAAAAGTAGTCCTGCCATGGACCAGGCGGACATGAAGCAACTTACTAGGATACCAGTCTTCCAGTGGTCCAATGCCAGCCTTCTGTTTCCTCATGTCGTACCCAAGGGTATTGTGGAACTGTGCCAACAGTCACTCAGTCCACGAGCTACCAATCAATGGTCAACCCAGCCCTACGCGCCGCAACATGCTTACAGTAGTCGTGTCTCATCATCTCAGGTCTCACAAGCTGGATTCGACATCAACGGCTCCCAGAATGATTCCAAAGCAGAACCAACCCTGTTCACCAGGTTGCTGTTGTGGCATAAAACAAATTGTTTTTTCTGATGTAAAAAATGATTTAGTAACATTGAAATCCAAAAAAAAACATGTGTGAACAATTCTTAAAGTTGTGCGCAGACTGGGATCGGGTTGCTAGCGAGGATCCTTCATTTGACGAGGAAATGAACAAGAAATGAACACAAAAATGAAACAGAAACGATCAAAATGAAAAAGACATGAAAAACTCCTGAGTATGAAACATGTGGTCTCCGGGAGTGCCAGAATGAAGAGCAAATGACATGAAAATGATTTCAGGTCAAAGGCAGCCGTAGCCGTAGCCCAATCTCCTAAAGATAGTGGCTGCCAAGTTGGGGCACCCCCTCCTGTAGCGTGAACCAACCAAATGTCCCGTCTCAGGCCGTGTTCGAGTGGTTGATGGAGGGGAGGAAAGCCCATGGAGTGGGATCACAGGGATCGAAGAATCCCAGCGATTGGAAGTGTACATTCCCAGACCTATGCATGGAGTAGTTACCTGCGTGGACTCTTCCGTACATGCATGGTGGTCTGGGACTCTTTGGGGTTTTGTGACCACAGAAACTTGCTGGAATACCCATCCACAGTACGCTTGGGACGAGCATTGAACCTGGAAAAAGACGTTTTTGAGAGACAAAATCGCCGAGCAGGATCCACCTGCCCCCTGTCTTGGTTGGAGAAGTTCTCCAATTTCGACACCACATCCATGGTCCCAAAACCATTTCTCCAAAACAACTTCTCCAAATCAATTGATCCAAAATCAATTGATCCAAAAAAAAAATAAATCATGGTGTCCCAAATCCCAGCGGGCTGGGGTACTTATCGGTGGGAAATATCGGTCTGCGGCCGATATCGGGGGATATCAGTGTATCGGTGCGGCGCAATTTGAAACTCGCGGCGCCGGCACAATGCAAAAGCCGATCAGAATCCATAAGATATGTGTCAAAATCCATACATCTTTACATCCATCTTTACATCGGATTTCTCCAAATCCACCACTCCACTCCAACCACCAGACTGGTCTCCGCGTCTCCGGGCGGAGAGCCGACGTCGCCGGCGACGGCCTCGGGAGTGCTCCGGAGTGCTTGGAAAGGAGCCTCCTTTCCCCGGAGCAAGGTGAGCGGTCACAAGAAACTGTCCAGACATCCCCCCAAAAAAGGAGGTCCAATGCGTTTCTTTTAAAAAATATCCAAATGGAAAAAGCAAGACTTGTGTGTTTTATCTATGTTGTTCTCCGGACTTCACGAATAGTCCTCCGCATTCCGTGGTTTCGGTTTCCGGCACCAATTTGGAGAGCTGGCTATTTCGAGGATATATACTATTGTACAAAGAAACAGAGCGTTGGCTCTCAAGATGCTCGAACCATGCAAAAACATGAAAGGCGAGGGTTGTTGGAATTGTTGTGACTTTGTTAAACACAGGCGTCTTCTCCCGTTACAAATGCTGATTGCCCTACGGTTCGATCAGCTGAAGACCTTTGTGGCTGGAATCTGCTTCTTGAGGTATTCACGATGCTTCAGAGCTTGCATCAGTTCGGTTGGATTCATCCCGATTGGGCTTTGGGATCGCAGTGGGGGGCCTCGTCTGCATCAGTTCGGTTGTGCGAGTCTTCATCAGTCTGAAATCCGAAGAACTGTCTTAACTTGCATTGTCGGCATAGAACAGAACATCTTACTTGGTAGATTCGCCATTGAACATCTACCCGGACCAACAGTTGGGGATGTATACTACATTATACTACCATCTCCTGCATGGAAAAGAAACTCGCTTCGACCCCACCTGAAGGGACCCCACGCCAGAAAAATCTCCGTTCCATGGAGGACGGGTGCCGAACCGGGGCAAGTCGGGGGTGCCGCGACTTCACACCCACCACCCCTGGATGGGACCAAAAGAAACCACCCAGCTCCATGCGGCCAAGAACCGTGAGGGTTTCCTCCTCCTCACCGACCCACCGACCCGACCGACCCCGCCGTTCCCCCACACACGCCCTTCGCAGCGCAGCGCACTCGCTGGGATCCACCCACGGCGTGGCCCTCGAGGGTGGCCTGACGAGCTCCGAAGCCGAGGTGTCCGATACAAAGCAATCGACTTGACCGAGCTCGATGGCCTCGATGGCCTCGATGGCCTCGATGGTGTGTTGACCCGGAGGTTCGAAGGGAGAAGGGAAACCATCCACTGCTAGTCGCTAGTCCAAAGGCCGAAGGAAACAGACTTGGAAGTGAGAGATGGGCGGTGTTTTGCTCGGAGAGACTGCGTCCGAACAGAAAAACCAGCCTGGACCTCTTTTTTGGGGTGTCCTGTCTGGAGCTCCCTATAGGTCGTGGGCTGGGGCGAAACCAGCCAGGTGAGACCGACGGTGCTGGAGCGTTTGTTCTTCTCTTCGATACCAAGCCAATCTACTTGACCGAGCTCGATGGCCTCGATGGTGGGTGTTTACCCGGAGGTTCGAAGGGAGAAGGGAGAACCATCCACCATCATCCACCACTGGCTAATTGGTCCTTTGAGGCCGAAGGAAGCAGGTCCGGTGAGGGAGAGATGGGCGGTGTTTGGCTTGGACGCTGAAAAGGATGGACCCAAACAAAGAGAAGGCAGCCACTGGCACGGACTTCCAAGCAGCTTGCGTCCAGCCACGGACAGCACATGCGGGTACTGTTCCAAGCGATTGATAGGAAGGTGATGGAAGATTGCAAATGGAGGTGACAACCGCCAAAGCAGCAACACTGCAGTACCCGGCTCTTGCTGTGCCAACTGGCTGCCCATACCTCAAATCGCCTCAACATGCCTCAACCCTAGTGCACCGAAATAGCCACCAGCATTGCGAGGTGCTTTTTCCCTTTAAAATGTTGCCCATGTCATGTCCAATAGAGAGAGTTGGCTTGAAACATGAATAAACTCCTGTCCCCTGTGATCTTTGACGATGTTGGAGACAAACCCGACCACGCAGGCGGCTAGCCGCCTCCCCGTTCGCCGAGCTCCAGCGGCCAGGTCAGCCTCGGTACGCCTCACGCAGAAGTGGGGTGGGGCGGATGGTGAATTGAGTGTGTATTGTACTAGGGAGACCCCCAACCTAATTAGATTGTCTCTCTATTTCCCTGCTTCCAGGGGCTCGCCCTGGCAGGTCTCCCTATTTTAACTTAATTGGGTCTAACACCGATTCCACACCAGATTCACTCGTGTTAAGACTACGGTGATGGGTGAAGCCCCTTTTTGTATGGAGGTGGTTAAGCAAATGTGTAAAGGGGGGGGCGCTTCTTGATCAAAACAACACGGCAATATAGTGCGCTCCAAGCGCGTTGCATGGTGCTTGGAGTGCTCAGCTGTGCAAAACCTTAATGAGAATGCAGGAGTGGTTTCTTGTTCCTTCTGTCTTGGCCATGGCTGGACTGGACTGGACGCAGCCATTATCATCCATCATCATTGCCCCACCCAAAATGGAGAGCACGGGCCGCGAGCACGTCGTTCCATCGCACAACAACTGGAGCCAGACCCATCTACCTCATGCGCCCCTCATGGCGCGCGGCTGGCCACTGGCCTGATTTTCAGGCACATCTAGTGCAGCCTCTGTGAATGGCCTCTTCTTCCCCTTGTTGTGTGGGGAGACGGGACTGGATCGGCCACGCTGATGGAGACGTTGTCATTTATAGAGGTTTCTTTCTGAGCCGTGCTGATACCAAAGATTGGCTGTCTAGTGAAGGCACGTCGCTCTCTTAGAGCCTGTTGACCACTTTTTGTTGATAGATGACTTTGGCAAAGCTATCTAGGCCTTGTCCACACCTTGCGTGTTTCTGTAGAGTGTGGGAGGAAAGCTATCCATCACTCACAATTCTCTCCAAGTATATACACCCCCCCCACCTTCCACCCCAAACATGTCGACACCTCCCAGGCCCCACGTCACCAAATCCCAGCCACGTTCGACCTCTCACCGGGTCGGTACCTCCGGGGCTCGGCGTGCCAATCCCGCCGCGGCGGCCGCGGACTCCGGTCCTGCCAAAAGCGGCTGAAACGGGGCGCGGTGGCGGGCCAGAGGGCGGAGTGGGAGGGCGGAGTGAAAAGGAGGGAGGGTTTCTGTGTGTTTGAGGCTGATGGTGCTGAATTTTGACGGACGAGGAGTGGGTCTCAAGGCGCATGCTTTGCGAAAAACGTCGAAACGTTTCGTTTGGCTCGTGTGAAAATGAACATCAGGAACAAAACACGTGTGGTGAGATGATCCAGCCCATCTGAGAACCTACCCAGAAGTCTTTTTGCTTGAGTGTTTGCCAGATGGACTTCGAACCAGGGTCCAAAAAAAACAAGTCGCTTGGGTTATCTAAACGGATTCATGGGTTCTGTTACAGTAAAAAAAACATAAATGGCCTGCCCGATTTGTCGTTCAACTGTCCATAACTGTCGTTCACTCTTCGTTCCCTGTGTGACTGGATCCTTTCGCATCTTCCCAGTGTTCAGCCCCGCTTGTCGGGCGAATCGGCTGAAGGCTGAAAAACAACACCTCCCATTTCGGCCAAGTGATGAGAGACATCACCCCGTGTTTCGGGAAGTGGTTCAAAACTGTCCTCTTCTCTCTTCTCCTCCTTGGAATCCTCCTTCTCAGACTCCGCCTTCTCCTTCTCCGCCGGCTCCTTCTCCGACTTCGGAGCCTTCTCCGGAGCCTCCTCGCTGCGGACTCCTCAGCCGTGAACACACGCACTCTGCGGACTGGCCGACTGCTCCTCAAAAAGGAGGATGTGAATGTGAAGGGCTGATGATGTGGCGCTCCTGTTCCTTCAGACCTTGAAGCTAACAATCGGTCTGAGCACCCCTTGACGATGGTGGAGATCCATACTGTACAATTCTGCAACTGATTCCATTGATCTCTGATGGCCCTGCTGAACCAGTCATGGGAGTGTAGACTCAAATATTCCACCTTTCCTCTGGACCTGTTGCCTGTGAATTCATTGAATACGCCGCATTGAAAAGTCACGAATAGGTGCTTACAGCCGATCGATCAAGCAGTGCGTGACGTGACTCCCCTTGCCACGCATGTGTCAAAGTCACTCCCAATCCTCGACCAATCGACAAAATCATTCCTGAAAATCAATAGGAGGGGTTGGGAAAATCATCTTATATATATATTTTTTTTTGCACGCCTTTTGGGACTGCATGAGGTCAAGCGAACATCTGTCGCAAATCTCTCTGGCGCATGTACACACAGCGGGCCTTGAGCCTGCTGGTCAAGATCGGCATGCCATCCGACATGCGAGTGCGGGCGTTGCATCGCGAGCACTCCAAAGTGTGGCCGGTGCGCACCATGGTGTGCGATCCATGGCCTTCCCAGAGGCTTGCTTCCAAGGGTCCGTGGTAGCAAGGTTCTCCCACAAACCGGCTGAAAGCTTCTTCATTTGTCCTGGCTAAAATGTAGCACCGACAAACTGAGCACCTCAGGTAGGCCCGGTCCAACTGCAAGTGGTGGACTCCTTGTTGTGGGCCTTGCTGGGCAGCTATCAGGGCATGGATCATCTCCATCCTGGTCTGCTTCGGTGGGCTCGGACGAACTTCTTGGTGGCACGGTTTGTCGGAAGCCTCCTTCAACTCACTCAAGAGACTCTTGCTGTGGTATCGCAAACGGCATACTCGGCATTGGATGCCACTTCTGAAGACCTCCCATTGATGGCCCTTGGGAGAAGTCTTGTGCAAAAGATCTTGGAGGATCTCCTTCTTTTGCTGAGCAAGCGAGATCTTCTGTTGGATGTCGGCTTCCTTGCGGTGCAGGAAATGTTCTTTGCACCTGAGCAAAATGCTCATTCGCTCACCTGCACTGAGAAGGATGGCATGGGCATCATCGTCGATGTGTGACTGCAAGTCGAGGATCTCCTTTGGTTCAAAAAGCTTGCCCGTGTTGTCTGCCGCTTTCTGGGTGTCTTTCTGAGTGACTCGTCTCATATCGTTCTGGTCCAGTTCAGCTCGGGAGAAGAGAAGAGGCCAAACATGATCGAAATCTTCAAATTCAAGGCCCGTGAAAAGATCCGGAAAGGTTTCAAAGGCCACATGTGGCTTCCAGTTCTTCCAAGCGGCTGTGTCATATAGTGCCACTGGAGTCTTCTCCAAGACATGCAGAGCAAGCTGCTTCATGGCATAGAAAATGGCCCTTTGTTTGGTGGCGGGGCCCGGACATATGCCCGTGATGGAGCCAACCTGCTGCTTGTTGGTGGTCAGGTGCACACAGATTGCAAAGGCAAAGCGCTTGTGCCTTTTGTCTCCACACGTGGGGGCCACTGCGATGGAGCAGATGTGTCCTTTTTGCAGCCTGAGGTGCCCGAGATCTTTCCATACCCCAGTGCCCTCCAGGGTGGAAGAGCCTTCTTCCGGCTCATAGAAGATGCGCTGAACCAAGCCTCTCTGCCAAAGCTCGGGATCTGTGCCAACTTCCAGGCGATTGGTCCATTCCTTGGAGAGTGGCTTGACCCTTCCTTGCCAAAAGGAGCACTGCCACAGAAGGTGGATGAAGGTCAGCTCAACTCCACACAAAGGACAGTGGCCAGTGAGGCCATGCAAGGTGCCCTGATGAAAGGCTCTCAACCCAGTGGCGATGTTCTCGCTGGTGGTTCTCTGGATGTGCTGGCTGATCATCCAATCCAACGGCCTTTCTAGGTCATGGCAACCATCATACCTGGTCAGACGAAGAAGGCGTTGCCACCGGAATTCTTGCGTGAGCTTGTGATGCAGGAGTGGCCACGGATCAGTTAGGCTGAGCACACAGTCCGGGATGCCCCCATAGCCTGTTCGCTTCCATTTCTGTCCATCCGAGATGTCGAAGTCGAGATCCATCATGTAGGCTTGAAGGGCCTGCAGAGGGCCAGAGACAACCTGCCACTTGTACTTGGCTTTGTGCAAGGCCCCTAGGGCGGTGTTCCAGCTGGTCCAGAACAGGTGTTGCTTGTTCTCAGGGAAGCCATGATAGACCTTCCAAATGGTGTGCAAATGCTGGAGGATGATTGAGTCTCCCGGGTCAGGCTGAGAGGGATGCATGTCAAAGACGATGTCCACCGACCCTGAGCGTTGAAGCCTGAGGCCTCTGGCGGCCAGCACTCTCAACTGGTGCCTCCGTTGTGGTGCTAGACCATTGGCTTGGGCCCCCCAAGACATAACCGGGTGCACCGCTCCCTTGTGTAGCCTGTAGCGGATGCCCTGGGCTATGCGCAGACGATGCATAATGCCCACTCTGCCTTTGCCCTTGAGGAACCTCTTGCGTATCTGGGGCACCCGTCGTCGCCGACCAGCCGTTGAATCCACTCCCAAATCCCGGAGAACATCATAGTGTTCCGGATCACCTTCTTGCAGCAAGGCTTTGAGGGCTTTGGCGGACTCCTTGGAGCTTGTGATGAAACCCGTTTTGTCGGTGTTCAAAACCAGACCTGCTTGCTCCATTTGCCACTTGAGGGTGCGGAAAGCGCCAAGTGCCTCTCGGGCCGCGAAGTCTGCATCCCGACTGTGGATGTCGAAACTGACATCATCGACCCATGTCTGCAAAGAAGCTGCAGGGTGGGCTTTGACCAGCGCTTCCAGTGGCCGATAGAGTATGAGCTTGGAGATGGCAGGGGCTTGAGGACATCCCTGGAGAATGCCTTTGTCATAATGCCGAGGGTTTCCATTGACCCCTTCCGCTTGCAGAGTGCGGGGCCCCGTGTACAGGTCCATGGCAAACTTGAGGTGCAGCGGGGGATAGGCCAAGTCTCTGGCAGGTTCAATGATCTGGTCCAAGTCAACGTGGTCATAAAAGCAGGTGAGATCAGCAAGGCAGGTGACCGTGTGGATGCCTTGATGTCGAGCAATTTCAGCATGTAGCATTCTGCCAATCGCAATGCTCAAACAATCTCTGCCTGGTCGAGCTTGGTCCCAAGGGAGCTTCTCATCCAGAGACAATTGCCATCGTTGTAGGTCTGCTTTCCTGTAGGAGCACCACACCCGGTAGATGCAGCTTGTCAGGGCAATGGGCCTCTCCACCTTGCAGTTCTTGGGGATGAGCACAATGTTGGTGGCTCGAAGCTGGACAGCCAGCTCTCCCTCCCTTTCCATGGTGGTCAGGAGGTCTGCCAGTTTCTCCACCGCCGGAAATGGCAAATGCCTCAGGAAATCATAGGAGATGCCATCCGGACCCGCTGCCTTGTTGGGTAGTCGTCGCATAAGTTGCTGCAGCTGATACGATTGAAAAGGTGGGAGTTGTTGAGCTTGGTCGATTGCAGCCTGGCGAAGAAGGTCCCAGGAACGAATCGGGCGAGGGTCGTCCCGAGGCTGCCAAATGGCACCCCATTGAGCTTCTCTAGCCTGTAGTCTTTCCCCAGCAGGGAGGTGCTGGAAAGGTCTTTGCCAAGGGATGTCCCGCTGGCGAAGGCTCCGAAAGAGACCACGGAGGCCTTTCTCATGGGCTTTCTCAAGCCAAAGACGGTATTCCTCATTTGTGCTGCTGAAAAGCCTCTGGTGAGCAAGTTGCTCTTCTTCAGCAATGATCCGTCGGAGTTCAGTGGGCTCATTCGTAGGATGCTCAATCCAGTGGCCAAGCAGAGCCTTGAAGAGATCTTGGCTCATGTGCTCCGAAGCATGGGCCTGCAATCCATCCATCATGTTGAGGAGATCGGTGGCAATCCGGCCATGCTGGGTCTGATGTACAACATTGATGCGTACTTTCATCTTCTCCCAGAAGGCTAGATGGCCCTTTCGCCACGTCAAGGACCGGCCTTGGTCAACCAACGGAGCGTTGTAGAGGTGGATCCTGCTTCCTCTCCCCGTAGTGGGATTGTGGAGGAGCTGTGTGAGGTACTTCTCCGTTTGGGTGGCCCATCTGGCTAAGTCGGATCCCAATCCCGTGATGGGGTGGCCCATGATGTGGAAGGGCCCATCTTCTTCCCAAAAGGATGTCCATGACGCAGGCAGCTGCATGGTGCGTCCGATGGGTGGGAAACGTTGAAGTTGTTGGACTTGGATCTCCGCTTGATCACAATGCAGATCCACCATGAGTCCACAATGAGGCTTCCAAGGGACATCCCAATCGACTTGTAGGGAGACACAGCTGGCCAAGGCTTGGGAGACCAGCAAATAGTCAATCATGGAGCCTTGAAGGGTGGTGGATGCGTCAGGGCTGATGATCTGAGCTTTGAACCGACTTTGGATGACCGTGGCCGCTAGTGCCTCCGGCTCGTTCTGCCAATCGCCCCCCACAATGAAAGGAGCCTGGATCTGCTCGAGGAAAGCCAAAAGGTTGCCCAGGATGGATGCATTAAGAGGTGACTGAAGGGTCTCTCCCGTGCGCAAGTAGAGCTGGATGAGGAAGAAGGTGGTGCCCTGTCGTTGAAGGCCAAGAGCCATCCAGCCATTGCCTTCTTGGATGTAGGAGTGAGCCACATGAGTGAGGTGACGAGTGCCATGTAGAATGAGGAAGCCTCCAGTGTTGCCTCCTCTGCCCGTGGGTTCCGCCGGAAGGCCATGGCTTTTCCATCCTCGAGTGTTGAAGTATTGTTGAGCTTCTTCCATCTTCTTTTGCCCAAGGTGCGTTTCTTGGAAAAGGAGAATGTGTTCTCCTTTGGTCCAAACCCAATCTTGCACCCTTCGTCCAAAGGAGGTCACATTGGCAAACACAAAGTGAAGAGTCTCCGTGTGGTGTCGGGCTCTCTTTGGCTGACTCGGTTCCAGAGCTTCTACGGTGTCCGGAACCAATTCTCCGCTGCATTCGTGAACCAACCAAACTTGGACAATGTCTTGTCGGTGGCTGTCCAGCAAGTGAGGAAGAGGAGCCGGAAAGGTGCCATCATCAGCATACCAGTAAGCATTGTCCATGGCATGGATGGCAACATAGTGGCCGTTTTGGTGCCCATGGCCTTGGTGCAGAATCATGCTGACGATCCTGTAGGTGGCTGAGTGCACATTGATGCCATCCTCAGAGAAGGGAATGGTGATGGTCGTAGAAAGGTCCAATGGACGGTTGTGTTTGGTCCACTGGCCTTCAACCAGCAAAGAGCGCTGGATGTGGATGATGAGGCCCCCTGGTGTGCCATACAGATATTGTCCCCCTTCTTCTTCTGCCCAAAGGTTGACGATGTCATCCAGGGAGATCGGAGAGTCACCGCCCGGGCATATCATGTTCAAGGGAATTTGCTCTCTCTCGTCCAAACGCCCTTCCTTGGTGACATGATAAAACTTGCCTCCGATGAAGGTGCCATTGGCCAAGTTAGCCAAATGGCCCACGAAGTCCCCGACGTCCGCTTGTTGGCCCTGTTGAAAGTGTTGCCAAAGCGGCTCTAGGGAGGACAAGTCCCTGAGGGAGATGGGTTCGTTTTCCTCCAGAAAAGTGCGCACAGCCTGGTGTGTGCGTCCCCAAGCAATGGAGGGATCTTCCGCATGAGCTCCAACCCAACTCCAGCACCGGAAAGCAGAGTTACCGAAGCATAGATTTTGGGAGTTGAGGAGTCGACTGGTCAAGGCCTGCCCAATCACATAAACGTTGATGGGCAAATGGGGAAGGTCCCCTTGAAGTGCAAGGAGCTTGTGGAGAACGGTTTCCATGCGTTTGAGATCGACAAGGAATTGTTGACCTTGTGCACGTTGCCACCCAGTCTCAAAAGCTCGGCGCGATGTCCAAAGGTCATGCTTGCATAGATCATATAAGGCCTGTTGGCCCGGTGTCAAAACTTCCTCATGCATTGGATGATCTTCATCATCCATGATGGTAAGCAAGAGCCTGGCCAGTCTATCCCGTGGGGTCCCGTGATTGGCAGTACCCGGGAGGGTCCGCCCTGAGGTAGAGGAACTCGGTGCCCCTGGGTTGGACTGTAGGCCCTCGTCGGAGATGGTAGAGTGGGATCCACCTCCTCTCAGTTTGAAAAAGGTGGGCTGCGAACGCCAGGGTCCATAGGTCCCGCGGCTACCCTGGTCCTCGTTCGAGCCTGGAACGGCTAAAGAGTCAAAAGAGTTGACTGTCCCCGTGCAACTCAATTGAGGTCCCCCATGCGGCTGAAGTGAATCAGCCACCCCTAAGAGACCCACATCCATGGTGGGAGCATTTTGATCTCTCTCTGGAAGGTTACCCACACGACTGGGTCTCAGCTGTTTTGCGACGCTTGTTCTCCTCCTCTGTTGGGTCCGTGGGAGGGCGCTTCAACATCAAACTGAGCTGAGCCTTTTGATCAGCTGTGAGATTGACACCTAAAGTGGTGATAAAACCAGCGACCGCGTCTGGGACTGTGTCTTCCATGGGCTGACCATCCTGGAGTGCTTCGGCAGGCTTCTGGGTGTTGACCAGGGCCATGTAGGCAGCACTTGTTGTGTTCAGGGCAGACTGCTCGGCCTCCAGCTTGGATTGAAGGGCTTTCATATCCTCCAACATGTCAGAGTATGTCTTCTTCGTGGAGTCAATCTTTGCCTGAAGGACTTGTTTCCGATGGGACAGATCTCTCAAGGCAGAGACTTGGGTCTTCAACTTCAAGGCCATGTCCTTCTCGGTCTCAGGCGGCGGACGCGTGATGCGCTCCACCAGCTCCTTGACCGCAGTGGGCAGCTGAGCCATGTTCTCCTTGAGGACGTCTGTCAGCTCAGGCTCCTTCTCGTGGGCAGGAGGTTTGATTCCTAGCTGTTCCAACTGAGCTTGCAGCTTGGAATCCAAGGAACTCCAGGAGGTAGTGAGCAGGTCCGTGGTGGCTTTGTGGACTTGGCCTATCTTGGAACTTCTGTGCCCTCCTAACCCCGGCGGGGGGGTCACTGGCTTCTGTCGAGGAGCGAACCTTCCTTGAGACCGGGTAGGAGATCGTCGGGAGGAAGGGTGACTGCTGTAGCCTTGAGGAGGTCTTGACCAGGCCAAGCCACATTGGCGGCAGACATAGCCCTCACATATTTTGTCTTGCCAAATCCAGTTGGAGCATGCAGGTCCTTGGCAACACTGGTAGGTCCGTCTCCATGAGGAAGATCGTGAGGACCACTCCATGCTGCCGCAGAGGCCACCCGCTTCGGATTCCAAGGTGTCCGGCTCGGAGACGCGTAGTGCGAGGAAGCAAGGATGAGAAACCTGCGCCTCGAGCCGAAACCTTGAGCCAATCATCTTATATATAGGTATATAGATATAGATATATATATATATACATATCTATCTATCATTATCTATCTATATAGATATAAAATCTGCACCAATTCTCCCATCTGAGGCCGACGGACGCCGCCGCTTTCGAGTGCTCTGACGGCCTCCGTCCGGTGCGCCCCCAGGCCGAGGTCCGCGGGACGAGGGTGCCCCGGTGCCACCGCGTGGTGCGACCGTTGGCTGGGCGGTTTCTCACATCTATCACATCTACCATCATCTACCACCTCTTCCACAGAGAATCCGCCCAAAAGTGTGGCTCTTTTCACGGTCGTTTCACATCTCCAAGCTGCTCCGAGAAGAACCATCACCGTAGAATCACCTCGCAAAGCCCTCAAGGGGTTTGCAGACTCGCCCAGCCCCACCAGCAGAGACGGTCCGACCCTCGGCGGCCTCCGCCGGACTTGGACTCCTCGACCAGGTCCTGCCCAGGAGACCGGGGCCGTTGAGGTGGGTGGTCTGGACTGGGGAAGGAAGAGAAACCCCAACTCCCCACATTTCGACCCAACTTGGCCTGGCCGGCAGTTCCGAGATTCTCGCCCCAGCATGGTCCAGAACGACCTACAAGTAGTCATACCCCCCACTCCTCCAAGCTCAAATCCAGCTTCCTCTGCACATCCTTCATGCGGGACCTCGGTGTGGAGGTCCCATGTCTTGGCTGTCAAACAGAGGAGTGCTGCAGGAGTGCTGCAGCCCATGGCAACATCAGACTCGACCTGACCCTCACACGTCCTCACACGACGTCGCAGCGACATTCGGCTCATCTCATTCATGCTGGGCTCTCAGACCCCATGGCGTTGCAACCTGGCGGGGTGTGGAAGTTCTGTCTGGAACAGAGAGGAGGAAACACAGAGAGAGAGAGAGAGGTCACTGCAATTGGAATCGTGTTGAAACTGCAACTTTGGGAGAGCACAAAGAGACATCAAGTCAAAAATCATGGAAAGGGTGTTGGAAAATCGCACTTGAGCAAAGTGTAGGAATTGGAGGGATGATACGAGACCTGGGCATCAGTCAAACAAAGAACCTGCAAGAACCTTTGCAACCGCGGATTTGAGCATATCAGCCCTCTCGATCGCGTTCAAAGACAGGTAAGCAACTGTGACTCTTCCAGTGACCGCTGTGTTCACACTTTTCACCTAAATCAGCATTCGAAAAAGCGAAGAATCCAGAATGCAGAATGCTGAAATTGAACTAAGGTGAGGAACTCACCAACCTCCCCTCTGCATCCATTCTTTATGTCCGGTCCTCCACCCAGTGGTTGCCGGCGCGTCCGGCCAGATGCTTTCGGGGGGGACCGGAGACCGGAGTGTTCCAAAAAGGCCCTTGTTGGAGGCCGAATCCCACCCAAACCCTCGGACATCCTAAAACGCGCCGCGTTGCTGGGGACCTTCAAAAGCCTGTAACAACATCTATAGGTCCGTAACAACGCTTCCACCCTGGTGAAGAACTCCCCGAAGTAACCAAGACATGTAAACATGCAACAAAAGGAAACTATATATCCCCTCTCAAAAACAACTCATCGACGCAAAAAAATGGTTCCCCGCAAAGAAAACGGAAAACAAAAGAGCGTTACACATGGAGAATGATACCCCATGGAATCCATAGAAATAAGAATAAAAAATCTAGACTATTGATTCTTTTTTCAATCCCATAGAAATTGCTAAATCACTCCTGCCACTCTACAAAAGTGCCTCCTGTCACTCTCTGCGACGCGTCCCCTCTTCCCGTCTTGACCGCCCGCACCGGGGCAGCCGCGGCCGCCCGCGGCGGCTCACGGGCTCGGCCGGTGGAGAGATCCAAACGGCGAAACGAAGAAGAAGCGACATGGCCAAAAAAGGGAAGGAGGAACCACCAATGTTTTAGCACCTTTTTGGAGGTTCCCTTTGGCATCGGTCGTTTCGTTTGGGTGTTGGTTTTGGCTGGAGATTGGGCCGGGTCTGAATGGTTCGGAGCCACATGTGAGCCTCATCTGCGCCCACTCGGGCCTTGGGGTAGGCAATACAAGTGGACTGGAGGTTGGCCCAGTGCCTCATGCACTTGACACCCGACTGAGATCCACCAGACTGACAAATTCAGCTTCAGATTTCAATGCACCAAGCTGCATACTTAAGCCACTCCTCACCACTGAGCTTTCACTCCGGCCACATGATCCCAAGACTGATTCTGAGTGTGGGTAATAATTACGCCCCGGAACCCGGTTGTCCGATGCCTCTATTTCGGGAGGTCCACCGAAACCATGGGCACTTGTGGGGGTGAGATCGGGACCTGGAGACATCCAACGCGCCCACCGCGCAACCACTTTTGGTCCCAGCCACTCGCCCAGCCACTCGCTAAAGGGATGCCCGTCGCTCGGGTTTCAGAGATAGCACATACCAGCTGGAGAGTTTGAGGATGTGGTGTTCAAAACGTCTTTGATGTAGACTCAATATACTTCTTGATTCCCAGGTATCGTTAGAAGCTTTGAAAGGAGGACTGATGAGAGATATAGAGAGAGACAGAGAGATGTGTGTGTGTGTGTGTCTAAAAGCCATAATTCTAAAAGCCATAATTCTGCATGGAACCCAGAGCCAGGCTTCCAACATACTAGACTCTACCAGTAGGGTGCATGAAAGTGTTCTACTTGCCAGGTCAGGTCAGAAACTGTGGCCCAGCTTTCGACCCCAAAAATCGCGATCCCAACCAATGAGCAGTTCTGAAAACGGTGGTCACAAGTAGATTCCCGTTGCAGGAGACGTTCTGTTCGTGAGTTCCGTCTTCATCGATGGTGTTCCTTCACTTCAAAGACTGACTGAAGTGTCCATCGGCGCGGTTCTCGGTTTTCCCCATTTTCGTTTTTGATCGACCATTTCGGATGACCATTTCTGTAAGCAGCTGTGAGTTCCAATCACCATCCCACTGACGGCGAGCAACGTGGCTGACAGAGACCCCTGACTTTGCCCAAGGTCTCAGTCACTACGAGTCACTACGCAGAAGTTCACAGCGCTGGCCACCATGAGCGGAAGAGGGCGCTCGGTCGTGCAAAAAGGGAGCCAAAACAAAGGACACAACATGAGTCCACGTTGCTTGTATAGTGAATGTGTGAATGTGCCTGATGGTTGTGCTATCTACATTCACAGTGTTGTGCTAGCTTCCCTACTAAACCCCATCCAGAAGTCGTCTCTTGCGAAGCTGCTTCTGGGGAGTCTGGGAAAAAAATTCGCCGCTCCAGTCCCATGGCTAGAGTCAAGTGGCCATGTTCCGCATGTTCTACAAATAAAAATATGTGGTGAATCCTTCAAGTAGGTTGAGCAACGCCCAAGTCAACGATCAACTTCAGGAGGACTAAGAAGAGCTCTCAGGAAGGTCTTCGGTGTTTGGGGGAAGTGATCAAAGTTGGTGGAAAAAAATGTAACAAATAAATATACTATACTCAAACTGACATCATGTTCAGTAGTCTTTCAGGAGTTAGATGAGTTCGTTATTCGTCTGCCGGAATCGATCTGGTGGGAATCCATGATGGAAACCTGGCTTACAAGGTTCAAAGTAGCCGCACTGGCTCGTGAAAAATGTTCGTCGAGTGTGCCTTGGCGTGTTGGCGTGTCAACAGGGCAAAGTAAACAACAGAGACCCGGCACATGGATCACAAGTTGTCACAAGTCACAAAAGTGTCCTTTTATACATCTTTGTGAAGCTTCCCTTCTATCTGGCTGCTTTCTTCCTCACGCCAGCTCCCATCTTCACCACTCTTCTCCCCAATACATGAGTCGCGGCCCCCGCACCATGCCCCGCTACGCACAAGAATGAACGTCACCATCCTCCAACAACTTGCTGATTGGCACAACGGGGTCACTGAAAGACCTTTTCGGTGTGTCTCTCGTTTTCTCGACAACCCATACCCTTCCATCTAGGATATCCTTTCCAAACCTTCAAAGTACAGAAAAGGATCATCTTTCCTGCTACATGTTTCCTAGTCCCACGGCGTTACAAACATGACTTCAAACAAACAAAGGCTGCAGAGAAACCCACGAGTGTTTCATTGTCGACTTTTTGTTGGCAGCACACTCAACAGTCAAGGCAACCTTCTCTAGTAGATGGAAGGTGCCATTGAAGTCATTGAATCGTGTCTTGAGAGGGAACTGATTTGACGTGCCGATTGCCACATCGTTTTGGAACACCTGAGTTAACACCAAACAGAACAAACCCCAAATACTTTCGAGGATGGCGTGCTAGGGCGCTCAACACTTCAACCAGCGAGGATGGCTTCGCTCTGGACCAGATCGGCTGGGACTCGAAGTTCAAATCGACACGGCCACCTGCACAGGGCGACCCCCGGAGGCGACCCAGTCCGAGGAAACACTTCATCCTGTCTGGTCCGACCAGTCGTTCCTCCAAAGAAAACATACATCCCGTTCCGCATATCCTAACTCGATGTGTTTGTTAATATCCTAACATCTCCTTACTTCACACATCTCCTAACATCGTCGTTCCTTCGAACTGGTCGTTCCATTTCCCATGATCGATTCATGAGATGCTCAAAGAGTGGATGTCTTCGCTGAATGTCACCTCCTCGATGTGCAAAGGACATTTGCCCAAACGGCCCCACCGACCCAGCTGAACAAAACCTCCACCGAAGGAGGGCGTTTGGCCGGGAACCCTCCACCCGGGAACGGAGTGCACTCACCGAGATCTGGCGGACTTGAAAGCTCCGAGTTTCTCAAGTTCGCAGAGTTTAAAATGTTCTCAAGAGAACTCTCCAATGTCTCATGTGTGTGTGTGTGTCCTCTTTCTTTCTTAGAATTAAGATTACCTCATGTGTCCTCCTGGTGTCCTTTTTGCCATGCACAAGAAAGGCACGGCGCATCGCTTCCTTCCCCCATCCCTCCGTCCGTCCACCACTGGACGCGCCGCGGACGCGCCGCCGGCGCCAGGCGCCTCAGCCGTCCACCTTCTTCATGTGGATGGCGAGCTCCACGAGGCGGTTCGAGTAGCCTCAGCGGACGGGGTGGGCGGGGATGACGTGGAGGGAACGCACCGCCGAGGGGCGGTCGTTGTGGGGGACCACTTAGTTGGTTGGGGCCAGGCCCATTTCAATGATTGAAACCGGGAAGTGTCCCCAAGCTGATCAGATGAAACCTGAAAATGGAAGCTGATGGCATGGGACCTGGCTGGAGGACTCTTTTCCTCAAACAACCCCACTGGTTTGCGGGTTCCATGCGGGTCTCGGAACCAGGCGCCAATGCCAAGACCGTGTCCACCGCTTCTTTCGGTTCTGAGCATCGGTGCCCCATTCGTTGTCGTACCAGCTCACCAGCTTCACAAAGTTGTCCTCGGTCCGCGCGGAACACGTGGGCGTACACGTGCGAGTGGCCCAGCCGGTAGGTAGGGTCGGTCACGCACGGTGAGTCTTGGCACCGGTTGCGAAGAAGAACCACCGGATAGACGAGAAGAGCTCGAACCGCGTAATATAAATATAGAGAGAGAGAGAGAAAAAAAAAAAAAGAAATAGTAAAATACGCATAGTGAAGCAGTCACCGTATAGACTAAACATCCAGAAAACACCATATAAAGAAGGGAAAAAGACTCCTGGCTTTGTATGATTGATGGATTCCTGGGAATCCACCGCCATGGTGTTTCCTCCGCCAAAAAGCAAAGGACATCCCCAAGCAAATCCCCCAAGCAGATCTCAGTAGCTTGGAGTTCCATAGGAGCTTCGGGGTGGTCTTTGAAGCCCAATCTTGGAAGTCCCCCTTTCTGGGGGGGAACACCGTTCCTGATCACCACCTCGCCCAGGTGTGTGCCCCGTTTTCGGAACTCGGACCCAACCGGTTCACCCCATGCCCAACCGGTTCCACTGTTCTCCGCCCGTTCGACCGGGTGCTGCGCCGAGCAGACGGTGGGTGTCTCGCGTTTACGGAGGGCCAATCGCCATCGATTCCATCCGGCCGTCCGTTTTCCCCAAAAATCCGGCCATGGAAGTGGATGAAGTGGATGATGAAGTGGATGATGAAGTGGATGATGAAGTGGATGA